ACATCTGTCTATGACCTTGAAAATACATGAGATGATTGAGTTTTTAGTAAATAACATTAATGAGGATGAACTAGATATGAAAGTGCGGTCATCTCGGGAATGTGCGCTGCGGGGAATAAATTGTTTGGTGTTCAACAAAGAAGGAAGAGTATTTGTTATCTCAACCTGCCTTATTATTCGAGCTTGCTTAGATTTTAGAGCGTCCAAAATATTCTAGCTTCATGTGCAAATATGGCTAACACCGCTCTCGTGCTTGAGTGTTTCATTCTACCTTCTTTCTGAATTCTAAAGCATAACCTCCTCATCCACTTGTCCGCCACCATGAGCCCATGTATAAGAAAAGTATTCAATAGTCTTTCTTTGAAGAATACGGTGGACTTTCCTTAAACAACTTGTATCAATCTCTAAGACTAGCTTTTTCGTTTGTTTACCTGTATATCATATAGCTTTTACATCCATCCAGGACTTCTTCAAAGTCAGAGCGCTTCATGTTCATTGTGGTTACCATATTACCGACGTCACCAACGATAACCTGAAACAAGTACAAGACCATGCCGACATGATCTAACGCTATGGGTTTGCATACCGCAAATAGGACTAGGCCAAGCAATGTGTCGCAAATCTCGAATAAGTTTTGAAATGTGTTGTTTGGTGATGGCTGGAAACAGTGATGACCTGCTAACAGAATACAGATATGCAAAAATTCCTAGAACATTACCTGTTCTCCCAATGTAACGAGTGTCAGAGCAGACCAATAGAAACTTAGCGCGTATTGTTTAACAAATTTGCTGAAGGTGATTGCTTGCGATCTGCAATTGGAATAGCTCCGTAAATCTTTTCTCAGAATAAATAGTTAAATAATTTGAAAGCACCATTGGTCGCGAGGACTCCGCTCGCCTTCATCAGGATAACAATGTTAAGGCTTTTAGTATTCAATTCTTCAAAGCTTTCACTTAATGCTGCCCTCGCCCCTGCCGGCCGCCATAATAGTGCTAAGAAATAATACCTAACGATGCAAAGAATGTTTCTCCTATTTTGGCGCACTCGAGCGTAGTGAGACCATTCCCCTCCTTATTTAGTAACACGTCACTGTGCTTAGAACGAATGTTTCAATTTGTATTT